TTACTAATTTTAGTTGAATACTGTGATCGTTTATGAATTTTGTTGATGATCAAGTATTAAATTTAGTCTTTTCAATAATTGTTGCATATTTTTGTGCCTTACAATGCACATTTTTGCATTCCAGTACATATTGTTATGCCTTCCAAAGCACATTGTTGTAGATCGTAAATGATGAATTTTTTTTAAAGATGACTAGATGATCATATCAACCCATTTAGGCCTTAAAATAATTCTCACGCTGCTTAGGGCTCCTGCAACTTTCGTGGCGATCCGCGCGGCCAGACTCTCTCCCGCTACTTTCATGGCGGAGGGCGTGGTGAAACATCTTCGCCTTCCCACAGCGTCTACCACATTTGTGGCCAAGAAAGTCTGCCGAGATGTCTGAATCATTACTTGTAGTCTTCATAAATGTTGTAGTCCTTTGAATTTCCGGTCCAATTCCATTTGAATTATCTCATTTGGATACCCTTAGATCCAGATATGCTCCAAATACCAACCTGTCACCGAAATACACTGAAAAATGACAGCTTTCCATTATTCTACAAATGCAACCACAATTAGTCCGGTCGTGTTCCTATTTTTAACAAAAATAAGGTATTCTAAGCATGTAATAGGCTCAAAGGACTCCAATTACAGCACAATATGTCTCTCAATTATCCCCCAAAATATAACATCTTTGACGCTTATCAAAGTTTCCACACTTAAACCTTGTTTGTCCCCAAGCAAACCAATCACTAATCAAGACCATAAATGCCAAAGATAGCTCATGAATCCACAACACTCAAATGGTCAATCAAGCAAGTCATGCACATGAATCAAATGTATGGCATCCTTCATGTTATCAAGCAAATGTGACAAACCATATGTGACATTCCAAAGTCAAGAGATGTTTAGGAAGATAAAATCCCTTAAAAGGTTAAGACAAAGTAAAAAGGGAACACCTCTCACACACAATTCATCAAGCCAAGCAAGCAAGCAATTGGATTTTTTCTTTCTTTTTATTTCTTTTCTCCTTTTTTCTTTTTGCTTTTCTTTTTGTTCTTCTTTATCTTTTGATTCAAATCATCCAATCCTCAAGGGCCTACTAAGCCGAGCCAACTAGTGCGAACGATGTGTGCAAGCTCGCCTCAAAACCCATCCATAAAGACCCAACATGTAAAGTAAAGTGAGGGTATGGTATGGGCGTCTTCATGCATTTTAGCTTAGCGAGACTCTCTTTTCTTCTCAATTCCCTAGGATAACGTCATCGAGTAAGCCAACTTCACGTGGAGCTCCATGCCTTTTCGAAGTTAATGCAATGGGTATACGAATCCTAGTCGGGTGGCTCACCTCCTCTCTTGTTTTCTCATCTCCTAGGATCGATAATGTCGTTGGGACAACCAACTTCACGTAGAGCTCTACGCTTTTTCAAAAATGGGGCGATGGTTGCCCCAATCCTAACAAGACGACTTTCCTAGTGTCTTTCCTCTCATAAGGGTGGCCATTTGTCTCTTTTTGGCCCTTTTTTTTTGACTTTTTCTTTATTTCTCCTTTACTACCCCTCATGTCTTTTCATTAGGGATGACAATGGGTCGGGGGTGGATCAGGGAGGGCTACATCCATCACCAGACCCACCTTATATTTTCTTCATTCACTGTCACCCCCAACCCGCATCGAGTGGACTTTTTCAAAATCCACTCCCACCCCCACTGGGTGCGGATGCCCACTACGGGTACCCACCACTTATACATAATAAAATAATAAAATTCATTAGTTATACTAAAACATAAAATAATAAAAATATTTAAATATAATAATTAAATTATTAATTTTTAAAAATAAACTTAGTAGGTTTAGATATAAAAATAGTAAAATGTTACACGATGTTATAGAAACTTTTATAAATAACTACATACTAATATTTATTTTAATATATATATATATATATATATATATATATATATATATATATATATATATATATATATACACACACACACAGTGGGTCGGGTGGGGTTCTAGGAGGATTTTGTACATAGAACCCGAATCCAACCCGACCCATAGCAGGTTTACATATTTAAGACCCACCCCGACTCACCACCCACTACCACCTGAAGGACTTGCAAATTGCTTCAAAGGTTTAATGGTGTGATGTAGGGGTGTCAGGGTGTGATGGAAAGAAGAGTGGGAATAAAGATTCCCAGGTTGTCGTACTCAAGGAGTGATAACTTGGAAGTGTTGAGAAAGGGTCACGGTGAGGTTGGTCAAGCTTTGAGGTTCTTGTTCAAGAGAATGCGTTGGTGAATGAAAGGTTGATTAAGGAAGAGTAGGGAAAAAGGTTGCTTGAAAAGAGATTGAAACAATAAGGTAAAAGCGGATTAGGATTGCATGCTAATTGCAATGTGTGATTAGCTAATCCCGCAATACAGGTGTTAGTGGTGATCAAATGTTGTGTCACAAGTCAAGAGGAATGGTGCGCTAGTGCGTAGCCATTTTGGTCTATACGCCTCCCATAGGTAGACATGACACCCGAGTGCTTACATCTTCTACGGGACATTTACTCGAACACCATGCCTACATTCCTTCCCAGGCCATGTCCTCTCAGATCTAGGACGGAGAATGTAGGAGGATCAAGAGGCACACCTATGCTTAGCAATCTCTTTCCTAAACCTTAGGACTCCAAGATCATCCATGGAGTTAGGCCCCACTCCAAGGAAGCTACACAAATCATCCTCCACAACAAGACATTCATGACAACAACAATCAATCACCACAATATAACAATTCAATACAAGTTAATTATCAAAAATGCAATCTACACCACAGTCCTAGCTAATCCCTAGAAATTTAGCCACTCATTATCAAGCTCAATAATCTCAACAATTGCAAAATAGGCATCATCAAATAAAGCAATTAAAGAGTAGAGATCAAGGATAACCCAGGTTGCAAAGTCTAGATTACCAAACAATAAAGGTAAAAGATGAAGATCCTACAAGGAATTGTTTGAATCCTCATCTTCTTCTTACAAAATTAAGAATGTTTTAGGGCTAAATTCTAGTGAGAGAAAGTGTAAAAACTAATCTAGATCTAAAAAATTGTAGAACTCTCCTCAAATTTCTCCCCAAATGGCCTTAAATCCGCCCTTGGCTTTGTTCGGCATCCCATTTACGCCGCGATCACGACGTGACATAGGCGTAAATGTGAACTTACTCCACGCGCGTCCAAATTCATCATCGCCTGCTTGGTCACGCTGCCCTAATGCCATGATAGCGGCGTGAATGGGATTTTAATCCCCTCTTTCCGCCTCACGTGTGTGGCTTGCAGCATGATTGGGTTTTTAGCTTCTTCACTTCTCTGTCACGCCGTGACACGGGCGTGAACAGAGTGTTGATGTGTGCTTTTCTGGTTTTGACGTTTTTGAGCCTCATTTGTCACCTTTCTTGTCCAAAAATTCCTAAAAACATTAAAAGATATAACTAGAAAGGTTTCTTTGTACTAAACCACGATTTTATGGTAAATCTTCATAAAACACACATCCTTAATTAAGGCTAAATCATGCGCAATACACCTTTGAAAAGCCCCTAAAAACTAGCATCTTTTGACGCTTATCACCACCCAAAAGAACCCGACCCATGCGGTGGTGGATTCGGGTGGGTATCCGCGGGGCGGATTGAAATTGTCATCCCTTCTTTTTCTTGAGGGTGGGAAATCATACAATGCTCACCAAAATCTCACCTTTTTCCCCCATGTCACACCGAGATTTCCAATTCCAGGTCTTGCCAAATTATCTTTTCTACGGCCCTCACTTGCACACATTCCCACTTCAAAGTTTCCAAGATACTGAGGTCCAAGAGGAAGGATATAATCCATGCAAGCACACAAACAAAAGTAAAGCTAGCTACTTGGGTTCTATGCAAGCTCACAAGGTGTAAAGAGGTAATCTCCAAAAATCTCAAGATTTGAATTCCACACATCATTTGAGCACATTTCTAAAATAATAGGAACAGTATCACACATTTCATCCTCATGCAAAAACCTCAATCAAACATCATATCATTCAAGGGTCAAGATTTTCAATTAAGCACAAAGTACGTCCGTTCCACACTTTAGAACGAACACCGTTCTTGATGTTCACTCACGTGGATGTAGGGGTACTGGAAATATGAGTGGATGGGTGAAATCATGGTTCCCTTTTACACACTTTAAAAGTGTGGTGTGAGGTGAGGATATGCGGTGGAATGAAAATGGCTATAAAGCATAGATGTGATCGGTGCAATATAAATTATCAACCACGCCCTTTCCACACTTTAGAAGTGCAAATTGGGTGTGCGGTTTCCACACTTTAGGAACAATTCAATGGGGTACCACAATAAACCAAGAGTAGAGGGGGAAGAATTAAAAATTTCCGTATGTGAAGCTGTGTAAATTCCCCCTGTATGTCAATCATCAAACTTTTGCCTCAACCAATCACATCATCCCCTGAATCAAGCAGAACAACAATCGACATCCACAAATCTTTTCATCATGATTAGCAAGGGCAGTTCAAAATCAAGATCATCAAGCATGAAAACAACAGTGAATAGAAGATGGGTGGAATTAAGAACTAAAAGACTAAAATAAAACAACAATCTAAAGTACTAGTAAAACTAAACAAAGCAAAAATAAATTCATCTTGATTTGGACTTGTGCCCCGCGGATTCAACCGCGTAAAAAACTTGTGCCTCATTCGTATTTTCTGCACTTCATTTACACCGCATGATTCTAGACTAGTTGTAAAGACTTAATCTCAGATAATATATAATCCTGACAGTTAGTTTTGAGTAACCAGGCAACCAGTGATCATTTCTATTATATTGTTTGGGGATCATCCATAATCTCAGTTTGCTTGCATGTGGACCACAGTACAGCTATAAATGACTTAATTATTGTTGGCAGCTGCGATCATCAATAATTATCTAATCTGCATTACCTGGCGTACTCCACCGCTTTGCAATTATTTAAAGGCCATCTATCCAGTGCTGAGAATCCAAAACCTCAAACCCAAATATATTCATATTTGAGAGAGAGAGAGAGAGATGAGCAATCTAAGTGGGAAGTTAGTATCACAAATAGAGGTGAAGTCGGATGGGGATGTGTTCCATGAAATCTTTAGGTATAGACCACATCATATCTCCACTATGAGCTCAGACAAGATTCATGGCTGTGATTTGCATGAGGGCGACTGGGGAAACGTTGGCTCTGTCATCTGCTGGACTTTTACTCATGGTATCTCCTCTCTATACTAGCTATATATATACAAATTAAATGAAGTCCGGGTGAAACAATTTTATTAAATGTTTAGATTTCAATTATAATATATTTTTTATGTGCTCCGAACAGTGATTATAGCGTTATGATTACAAATTTCTTTGCAGATTAAAAACAATTAAATATTGCACTTTAAATCTAAAGGACTAATAATAATTTTTTTGAAAGCCAAAAAAGGGGAATGTATTATAGCGTTATGATTACAAATTTCTTTGCAGATTAAAAACAATTAAATATTGCACTTTAAATATAAAGGACTAATAATAATTTTTTTGAGAGCCAAAAAAGGGGAATGTATTAAATCAACAAATGGTTCCAGAATGGAGGTGGAACATCACTCCACTCCGAGTGGATAGAATCAATTCCTATGGCCTTAGTCAGTGCATTATTAGCGGCTTGATTTTCGTTCCAACGGATAAATTGGACTACGCAATACGGAATTGAACTAATATATATAAATAATTATGCATAAAAATTTTATATTGGCCTTGTCGTCTCGTTTTTTTTTTTTTTCTTCTAAAGATGATCATTTCATGATCTCGATCCTTGGAGGTTGTTCCAGCAAGTTGACAATACTTATTTATTCGAATTATTTAAAGTAGAAGTGAAATAATATGCTTTTTTTATATGTTCATTACGATTTATGTATAATATGATCTTCAATTGTATTCAATTTATTAAAACTAGTAATCTATGAACAACTTAAACTCGTTAATATTTAAGTGCTTGCATTGTTCCTGTGAAATCCATGAGACCCTCCGTAAATGTATAAAAGCTACCATAGGAATACACACATGGTAGATTGTGTATATTCATGCTAGGCAAATTGCACAATATCCAATCTGTGTGCATTCGTGTAGTAACTTATATGTATTTGTAAAGGATTTCACGGGACTCACGGGAAAAAGGTGGTCTCATTTTATTATTACTCTGTGTGTGTGTTCATTAATGATGAAGGATTTTAGTAAAAAATAACGCGAGTCAATTTTATAAATTATTAAAAACCTTTTAAGTTTGTAATATTTATAAAAATGAATGGATTTGATCGGTACATACTTTTTACAGAAAGACCATGTTCTTAAGTGGCCATCAGGATTCATCAATTGTTGGAATAGAAAGTTTCAGTAAAAAATAATAATAATAATCCAGTTAATTTTATAATTATTAAAAAATATTAAAAATGAGATTCATTTTATAATTATTTCAATTCATACTATAAAATTTATATTCTCTTTTGCTATCATTTTAGATCTAATGATAATACTGCATGAAAAATGTATGAATGCAGATGGGAAAAAGAAGATTGCAAAAGAGATAATTGAAGCCATAGATGAGGAACATAAAACAGTGAAATTCAAGGTGATTGAAGGTGATCTGTTAGAACATTACAAAAGTTTGAGCATAACTGTTCATGTTGACACAAGGGGCATAAACAACTTGGTGACTTGGACCTTAGAGTTTGAGAAGAAGAATGAGAGTACCCCAGAGCCACACACTTTGATGCAGTTTGTCTTAGATGTCACCAAAGACATTGAGACCCACCATCTCAAGTGACAAATTAAATCTCACAAATTCTTGGCTGTTTTAATTCATACCCAGATAGATCATCCATCAATACTTTAATAACTTAGCTTGCACGACGGGCTTTAAGTTATTAAATTATTGCTATGATGTCTATCTCTCAATGGATTAAAATCAACCAAGAATTTTTCAACTTATTGTTGGCTTGCTAAATAAATTATTAAATATTATGTGAATGTGTTTGGAAGTTTGCAGTTCAAATGAATGTAATAAATAATGTAAGCTTTTCAAAGCTTAACTTGTCAACAAAATGTTTATATGTAACTTAAATGTAATAGTGGTGTGTTACTATGGTGGTATATTTGGAAATGTTAATAATATTATAAGAAATGAAAGAGTCTGTTCCGTGTTTTTGTTATTTTTATTTCGAGAATAAGATGAATTACAAATTACCACTTTGTCTTTTCTCATCTATATTGATTTTCATTTGTGTGGTCTGATTTCATCTTACGGGTCTGACATGTTCGCACGACCCCACGAGCACTCATGATAGAAATAGGAACTAATAATCTGAGCCCCCCATCATAAAAACCAACAGGTCAAATGTGATTAAAAAAAAAAAAATATACAGTGACAATTTTGTAAAGAACTCAAAATTTGAGTACAAAATAAATTTGTGTTAAAATTGCAAATAACAAATACAAGTGTGCAAGTAAAATCATTTAAAAGTGTAACTATTTACACTTAATAGTGCAAGTAATTTAACTTTTTACATTGGTGCACTTAATGATAATGTTTGGCTCAACTAATGATAACGTTAAGTGTACTTAATATTGTTGCGCGGTATATTATTTGTTGCACTTTTAATACATTATATTATTAGAGAGTTAATACCATCTGAGGTCCTCTGAGTATAGTGGTTTTGCCACGTTTAGTCCTAAACTTTCAAAGTGACCATTTGTAGTCCTTCGACTTTCAAATTTAACCATTCGTGGTCCAAGTTAACCACCCATGGTCCTTCAACTATTAAATTTTAACTAACCATGGTCCTTTCAAGAGGACCACGGCTGGTTAAATTTCGAAACTTGAAGGACCATATGTGGTTAACTTGGACCACGAATGGTTAAATTTGAAAGTCGAAGGACCACAGATGGTCAATTTGAAAGTTTAAGACTAAACGTGGCAAAACCACTATAATTGGAGGACCTCAGATGGTATTAACTCTATTATTATACTTGCAGTTAGGTGTACTCTATGAAGTTGTTATTTACTTGCACTTTTAACGCAGTTTACTTGCACTTTAAAGTTCAATTACTTGCAAAAATGTCACCGTATTTTTTTTTAAAAAGATCCTTTAATTTAGATCTATCCAGATGGATGCCAGTGATGAGTTCCTAGTTCTCTCCTGGACATGCTTGTGAGTATATTTTGGATTGAAAGTAGGTTGGGAAAGGTGATTTTTTGAGAATGTCGTTCTCAAAAGATGACAAATTTGGATGTGTTGATTGTAGCAAGTCAAAAGAAGGACTAGAACCCTTCAAGTACAAGATCCAAATAAAGTGTGTGCAATCATTGTTTGAAAAGTATCAAGAATCAAGTGTGCAAGTATTCTCAAAAAAAAAAAAAAAAAAAAAAAGTTTGCAAGTATCAAGAGTAAACAAGTATGCAAGCATGTAAACATAGAAATTGAGATGAAACATGGTATGGATTATCCTTTCCTGGCAATGGGCCGGTGTTTCTAGCGTCTAAGCTAGGAATTGCATGATTGTGTTCATTGGACTTCAAGTGAGGTAATTGCCATTGTCATAGTAATTTTAGGTCTTTATGACCTATCATAGTGTAATATATCAGAGCACCTGAGTGACAATGTTACACCTGTGACACATTTTATCAAACACCTTGCCTACACCTCATTTTGGACTTAGGCTCTAGCATATATGCTAGCAATCTCTTATCAAGCATACTAAGTTCTAGATCATTCAAGGAATTGGACCCTAACTCCAAAGATACAACCAAACATCTCACTTCCATCATGAAATCAATCAATAAGCACAAACACAATTCCAATTAACAATTCATCACAATCACACTAGCACCATTCAAGTAAATGCTAATCCAATCCTTAAGGAATTTTAGCTACTCATTGTTCTAAATTGAAATAACATTAAATTGAAACAAGAAATGAAGATAAAAATGAAATTGAAATGGAAAAGGTGCAGATGTTAGCAAGCTTCAACTCAAAAATAACAATCAATCAACAAGTAATCCAAATCAATCAAGAGGAACTAGCTCCAAGATCAAAGTAGTTTGTCAAGTTACTGGAACCCTAGAACTACTTTCTCTCTCTAGATTGGGAGAGCATTTGAGGATGACTAAAAGATGAAAAACTAAAGTCTATGTTACTTTTTATTTTTCAAATTAAAAGTCAACATTTCCAGGCTTTTAAATAGTTCGCGCCCACCGCTACGGTCGCGTGCATGATCGTGCAGGCCTTTGTGTCGCTCCCAGGTATGCTGCCACAATCGTATAGTGCTTCGTGCAGGCTGTAAAAGTTTAGCTACGTGCTTCTCCACGATTGTTCAGCCTCTTTTATTTGATGTCTTGCCGCTACAACACTCTTCCAAAATTTATCCAAATCATGCCCACATGCTATCACTTTGATCCAAAATCCTTCAAACCACTAAAATGCATTTATCATAGATCCTTGCAACACAATAAAATCATTCCTTTGTATTTTGCTCCCAAAACCAAGCACAAAGGACTACAATTAAACACAAAACAACTCCAAGATGACTCTCATAAAGATGCATCTTTGACCCTTGACAATGCTTGAGTACAAGAGGTGGTGAGTGGTAGGAACCTAGATTCCCGAGTTTATCGTTCTCTAGGGATGACAAATTGAAAATGTGGAATTGCGTTGAGATAGAGAGTGGTGTTTAGGCTTGTCATATACATGACTCACAAGGTGCATAGAGTAAATATGTGCAAGAGCAAGAGTACAAGAATATTACCACACAAGTAAAGAATTCAAATGTAGTAAAAAGCTGGAATAGAATTGATCATCCATTGCATAATGCTTCTAGTGTCTAAGGTAAGATTGAGACATTGCAATTGATGGATTTCAAGCGAGGTTTTACTAATGTCGTTCACCTCTTGGTCTACAACGCCTATCAAAGGTATAGAAAGAACTTCAAGTGACAACCTATTCCTAAGAGTCAATTCATCAAACACCTTGTCTTCACCTCATTCCGGACTTCGTCATCTCGGAACTTAAGGCAGAAAAAACAAGTGGAATGGAGGCTATAATCAATCTAGCAATCTCTTGCCTAGATCAATTGATCCTAAAATATCAAGGGAGTTGGGCCCTAACTCTCAAGATTCAATCAAAGCAACCACTTCTAACAAGATCAAGCAATGGAATAGAAATTAGAAAGCAAGAGGATTACTAAACTTGAATTCAAAAGAAGATTCAATTAACAAATTGCTTCAAGAATCAAAGAAATGTTATCAAGATTCCTTCAATCAAGAATGTCTTCAATACAATGTTCTTAAGAGGCTAGAGAGATGTAAAACGAAATCTAAAACTTAGAAAATGATCCAACCTCCTAAAATACCTAAATCTAGCATATCTTAAGCATTTCATCCCAGGTATCTCTCATTTCACGCCTAGATCCTAGGTCACGAATGGGGCCACGCTCGTGGCTCGGTTACTTATGCATTCCAGTGCTCTAATCACGAGCGTGCATGGATCGCGTCGTGACTGCTTCTGCTTCCCCGCGACGAGCGGGTCCACGATCGTGGCTAGGCTCTGCTGTAATACTCCACTTTGCACTATTCTTTGGTTGCTTCGGTTCATGCCCATATGCCTTCCTTTTAGCTTAATTAAACTCCTTCAAAAACACTAAAGTGCAAGATATGATAGAGCTTTGCAACACATTAGCACATTTTAACACATTTCACTGGTCAAAGTACCTATGAAGTCCTTGTAGTATAGTGTTTTGTTCAATTTTGTCCTTTTACGTTAATTTTGTTCAATTTAGTCCTTGTACTTTTAAAAGTAAAACAATTAAAGACAATATCTTATATTTATGTATTTATTTTGGACTTATTAATGTAATATATTTGTAGTAAAAATAATTAATTTTAAATATTTAAAAAATAATATATGAGTTCGCATGTAAGTTTGATGATATGGCGGATATAATGGCAGCGGTACATCAACTATTATCCTTAATTCTTTCATTTTTAAAAATACAGGGACTAAATTGAACAAAATTAAGATAGATGGACTAAATTGAACAAAACACTATAGTACAGGACCTCATAAATACTTTAACCCATTTCACCACAAATCAACCACGAAGAACCACATTAAAGTATAAAATAATCCCATAATGACTAATAAATGTGTGGCTTTGGCACTTATCAAGACATATCAATAATCTGTCACACAAAATTCAGTCAAAAATGCTCTTTATTATTAGTTAATTTATAGTACGTCACCATATAAAAGATCGGATCGCTATGACGATGAGAATTATGAAATATTATATGATAATCATAGTAATCCTGAATAACATTTATATATGTTTTTGTATTTGTTATTAGAATGGGGCCACGCTCGTGGCTCGGTTACTTATGCATTCCAGTGCTCTAATCACGAGCGTGCATGGATCGCGTCGTGACTGCTTCTGCTTCCCCGCGACGAGCGGGTCCACGATCGTGGCTAGGCTCTGCTGTAATACTCCACTTTGCACTATTCTTTGGTTGCTTCGGTTCATGCCCATATGCCTTCCTTTTAGCTTAATTAAACTCCTTCAAAAACACTAAAGTGCAAGATATGATAGAGCTTTGCAACACATTAGCACATTTTAACACATTTCACTGGTCAAAGTACCTATGAAGTCCTTGTAGTATAGTGTTTTGTTCAATTTTGTCCTTTTACGTTAATTTTGTTCAATTTAGTCCTTGTACTTTTAAAAGTAAAACAATTAAAGACAATATCTTATATTTATGTATTTATTTTGGACTTATTAATGTAATATATTTGTAGTAAAAATAATTAATTTTAAATATTTAAAAAATAATATATGAGTTCGCATGTAAGTTTGATGATATGGCGGATATAATGGCAGCGGTACATCAACTATTATCCTTAATTCTTTCATTTTTAAAAATACAGGGACTAAATTGAACAAAATTAAGATAGATGGACTAAATTGAACAAAACACTATAGTACAGGACCTCATAAATACTTTAACCCATTTCACCACAAATCAACCACGAAGAACCACATTAAAGTATAAAATAATCCCATAATGACTAATAAATGTGTGGCTTTGGCACTTATCAAGACATATCAATAATCTGTCACACAAAATTCAGTCAAAAATGCTCTT